TAAACTAAAACTGTTAACTATCTCAATCTCTTTACCATCCATACTGTTGCTGCCAATTGGCCCAGTGGTGAGAATCTTTGTTTTCTTGATGCTGAGCTTCAATCCATATTGAAGGCTGCAGTTCTTGACCTTCTGCAGCAAGCGCTTCAGGTCCTCCTCAGTTTCAGCAAACAGAGTTGTGTCATCCACATAATGCAGGTTGTTGATGATTCTTCCACCAATCCTAATGCCACAATACTCCTTGTACAGCCCTGCATCTCAGATTATCTGTTCTGCATACAGACTGAAAAGGTATGGAGACAGACTACATTCTTGACGGACCTCCTTCTTGATTTTGAACCATGTAGTATCTCCTTGCTCTGTTGTGACGACTGTCTCTTGGTCCAAGTATAGGTTTCACACATTAGCACAATCAAATGTTCTGGGATTCCCATTCTTCTCTACGTGTCAGCCATAGCTTGTTGGGATCCATACAGTCAAAAGCCTTTGCATAGTCAGTGAAGCACAGATAGACATTCTTTTGGTATTCTCTGCTTTCTGCCAACATCCATCTAACATTAGCTATAATATCCCTAGTGATAGTTTATTTTCTTTTACACAGTCAAAAGCCTTTGCATAGTCGCTATAACATAAAAAGTCTCAGCATAGATTGAGTTTGGATTCCACTGGATGTTTCATGTGCAACTTGAACTACTAATTTGACCAAAAATGTATGCTGAATGAAAAACTTGTTTCAGAGAACAAGACAGAAATACCTTTCATTTTCAATCAGTTGTATTTATAGTACTTAACTTTGGGTGTGTTTGTATAGAGAGTATGTGTGTTCACAAAAGAAAATGATGTAAATATTTATTACAGGTTTTAAATGAGAAGAAACTTCAAGAGGTTGATAGTTTATGGAAAGAATTTGAAACACCAGAGAAAGCAAATAAAATGTAAGTAGTCTTGAAATGAAAAATTTAGTAGTTAATAGTTAAAGATTTTTAAAAAACATGATTTCCCCCAATTTGTATGTTTTTTCCCTTCTTTTTTAAAAAAAATCTAATTCTACATTGATAAAAAGCTAATTTTCAGAGGTGTTTTACCATTGATTAAAACCCTAATTTTCAGAGATGTTTTACTTAGAACATGGGCCATATCAGCTAGTGTCTGTTAGTTGCTGACTAGCATAGGAGGCATTCCATAATATTTTGGTAAGATTTTTGAAGATACAATCTAAATGGATTAGTTATAAATTTCTGTTAGAAACAGCAAAACATAAAGCCCCCAGAAGTCACATATCATGAAAAATTAGTGAAACAAAATGCAGAGATGATTTTTGCCCTATTTCTGGTAGAAGAAGCTGTAAAATTAAATAACCTGCATGTCCATCAGTAATGAAATGGCCAAGTAAATGAGAATACAGAATTTTAGTGTCTTGTTAACCTCCTTGACAAAGTCCATAAAGGTTAGTATTACAGTGAAAGAATCTTTTTAAGAGGAAAGCGAATTGGGGTGAGGGGATAGGGAGGAAAATGTGTAACAGTGAATGAATGGAAATCCAGTTTTTCTTAAACTTGTGTTAAAATATCAATGAAAAATAAAACAAGAAAAATATGTAGAGGGAAATTATGAAAACAGAAAGTCCATAGTGGCCATATTCCTTTATATAAATACAGAAAGAATTAGAAGAAATACACCTCTGGAGAGTGGTATGTAGACATAGAAAGATTAGAATAAGGACACTTCTGGAGAGTGGGAATTGGTATAAGGTATGGTGGAATATGATTGAGTTATTACTTTTTCCTTAAATCTTTGTGTGGAATGTATCTTAATGATCCCTAGAGGGGAAAAACTTTGGCTTGTTTAAATATGCTATTTAAGGCAAAATAAAAGGCTAGTTTTTTTAAAGGTTATTTGTTTGCTGGGATAAACCTGATTCATTGTTGTCAATGATGTATTCTTGTTGGAACTGAATGTAAGTGATAGAACGTAAATATTCGTCACTACCACTGAGACGACAATGAATTTACATACATTTTGTTTATTGTAAAATCATGTTCTAAAATCCTGTACTGAGGAAAAACCCAAACCTATTAAAAAGTCAATTCTGACTCATAACAACCCTGTGAAGGGCACAATAGAACTGGCCCTATACATTTTGAAGAATGCTGCAAAGCAGCTAGTAGGTTCAAATTGCTGTCCTCTCTACCCAAACACTTAGGTACTGTGCAACTCAGATACCTTAAAGTCATATTAATCAGATCTGAGTAGGGCATATACATTATGTGTAGACAGGTGAATATTAGAAGACTTCTGACCTAAGAGACATACTTTTTCCAGGGCCACCTCTAAGAAAAGCAAAATTTGTCCAGTTGTAACAAATTTCTTTGCTGTTGACTTTGATCACTTCAAAAGTTTATTAATTTTTTTAAATCACCTAATTGTTACTATTTTAACATTTTAAAAACTGGCCTTTTGGCTTTTATTGGTGTCTTGAAAATTGCCTAATAACTCTACCAAATATGTAGCAAAGTTACTTTTTGCAGAATCACTGTGCCTCATTTGTTTGTTTTATTCTAGAGTAAAGCTAAAACATTTTGAGAAATTTCAAGATACAGCAGAAGCATTAGCAGGTAAAGTAAAAGAAAAAATTAGAAACTATAGACAAAAACTTTTTTTTTTTTACAAGTTTTCCTTATTAAAAAGTTTGTATCATTTGTCTGAGTTAACCTTATTCAGTGTTGTCAATGATGCATTCTTGTTAGAACTGAATTTAAGTGATCTAACTCAAATTCGTCACTACCACTGAGACAACATTGAGTTAGCCTTTTTCATCATAGGGTTTGTCCCCTCCGCCCCCTCCACCCCAGTATGATAAGAGATGAGAAGTGGTTAAGTTGATCTCATTATGGAAACCAACAGCGTAATGCTGAAGCCCAATTCAGTAAAAACTGTTCTACCAGGGACTAAGGTAATGTGGTCAAGTACACTGCTTTCTGACAATTTTAATCCTAGGCTAAAGGTTGAAAATATCCTTAATTCACCATTGAACATTGAGAAAGTAATACAACTCAAGAGTATATTCTTTTTGTTTAAAAAAGTACATTTGGTATTACAGGAAGGCTAGCAATTTAGATTTTTTAATATAAACATTGGAGCTTTTGCATATTTAAAAGGGACTAGTCCCAGGATGGTACAGCAGTTAAAATTACTAGGGCTTTGATAGTCTACTGACGAAGTTGCACTGCCATCTCAAAGGCAGATGTTTCAAATAAACCAGCTGTCTTGTGGGAGAAAGATAAACATTCTCCTTCTGTGCAGTTTACAGCCTCTAAAAATCTGCTAGCAGGGTAGGGAATAACAATAGCAGAGGGACAGACACAGTAGTTAATAGGGATGTTTGGTGCCATTAGTTTAACTGCTACTCCTAGCAACATTAAGAATGGCAAATCTGAACCCTGCTTTATACTGTGCCATCTTCATCATCTCTGCCTCACTTGAGCCATTGTTACAGTTAGTATGTCAGTCTGTCTCACTGGGGTTTCTCTTCCTTCATTGATCCTCTGCTTTTCTGAGAATGATGTCCTTTTCCAAGGAATTAGCCCCTTCCTAATAACATGTCTAAAATAGGTGAGACAAATTTTTACCATCTTTCCCTTTAAGGAGCACCCTGTCAGGACCTTTTTGTCTTGCCAGTTCATGCGATATGTAGTACTGCTCTTCACCACAAGTCAAAGACATAACGATAAGATTTGTTAAGTAGGATTGGATTCAGTAGTCAAACATCTCAAGCCACTGATAATTCATTCACCTCAGCTCTCCCACAGTTCAGCGAGCTTGAAGGTGGATGGCAGCAGTGTAAGCAGCTAGGGGTTATTAATTATTCTATGTCCTCATCTACTACATTCCTTAGACTATCCCTCCCAGCTGACAGGCAATTAAGTCTAGCAGGGCCTTTAAACCCAATGTCTCGAGGATATGGTTAGAGATTCTCTAATTGACCTACATAGGCAAGTCTCTCCTTTGACATAAGAACATCACAACCTTACAGAGTGGCTTATAATGTCAAGGGATCTATCTTGGCCCAGAATTTGTATGGAGTTTTTTACCCTCAAATCAAATTTATCAACGTGTGAGTCTTCAAAATAGCTTTGGTAAAATTTTTCAACTAGCCTATGTTTTGGGATACTTTAAATGTATACTGCTTAGCCTTACAAACTGTCAAACTGTCCTTGTTTCCAGGCATATTTGGGCCTCAGACTCCTCTAGACCTCTAGAAGATGGAAGTATATTTCTAAATAAGGATGTGGAGTATAAAGTAGCAGACTAAGAACTTGCCAAAAATGAGTGTGGCCAAAATAGAATAGGCTACCTTGAGAAGGGTTTGTAAGCAAACCCTTGTTTGTCTAGAGTGGGGATTAGCAGAGGTGGAGCATTAAAGGCTGTCCCTCAGGAATGCCATCCCTGTGTCAGATACTTCACATTATTTTGCTTTTTAAACTAGACTCGGAATAATTTTGGGATATTTTACTAGTGTAGATTAGTAAAACTAATCTACATAAAATTAAACAGAAGAGTGAATTTATTTGGCATACCAAAATGGTGGTTCATAAGATTTCATGATTTTGATTCTGAGTACATAAGAAGCAGCCTGTGACACAGGGAATAAAGCTCTAGAACAGGTTTAGCTCCTGGCCTGGAGCAAAATTTAAGGAGCTTCTTGAGAAGAACAAATGAAATTGTTGACGCCATATTTTATAAAAGTTTCATTTTATTTTATTTGAAACTATTAATTCGTTTTAAAGAAAGCATGTTTTATTTTTAAAACAAATTTAAATGAGATCTTAAGTTTTTACAGTAAAAATTTGAGAGTCAACTGCTTTGCTTTGTTTTTCTTAAAAGCTTTCACAGCTCTGGTGGAAGGCAAAATCAATAAGCAGCTGAAAAAAGTACTGAAGAAAATAGTAAAAGAAGCCCATGAACCCTTGGCTGTAGCTGATGCTAAATTGGGAGGAGTCATTAAGGTAAGATGATTTAAGTATTTGATGCGTGTAGTTACATGTCACCATGCAGCCTAGCTTTTGAAATAAGTTGTTTATTATTTCTTTTTTTAATATTAAAAATGTCAAAGTTTGAGATAATTGGATTATCTCTTTTAAGTTATCATACTTGATCATTTACCCCCTAGGCTTAAATAATAATTGATTTCCACTAGGATTGGCAAACCATGAACTCATAATGATACTTATTTAGAAAATGCAGATAAATAAGATGATGAAATTAGTTTTTAACTCACTCCCACAAGATAATGTTAACATGATATATAGCTATTTTTTGGGGTCATGTTTCATTTTCAATAAAAGTGAAGTGTAGTGGCTTTTTTATTGTAGAGTATGCTCCACTTCTTAGAACATGTTGGAAGAATTTGGGGCTATTAGACATGAAATAGACAGTGAGAGTGAAAAGCTCAGAAAGTTGGCCCAGAACTATCACAGCTACTTGTGATAGGTTTGGTCTCAGTTATTTTAGTAGGTGGTGTGGTGGTGGTGGTGATTGCCTTTGAGTGGAGCAGGACTCCTAGCGACCCTATGAACAAAAGGCCTGAAGCTCCTCTACAATCATCAACATTTATCAAAGTTCATAGAATTTCCAGAGGCACGTTATTTAGGAAGTGGATGCCACACCTGCTTCCAAACGTGTCATAGTATGTTATTGTTGTTACGTACCATTTGAGTAGCCTGTGATGTATAGCGACCCTATGTACAGCAGCTCTGAACCCTTTCCTGTCCTGAGCCAGTCTCACTAATTCTGACACACCAACTCCCTTTGCCCCAGTTACTGTATTAATCCATTTCATCCTGGGTCTCACTCTTTCACTCTCTGTCCACCCTTCCGAGCATGATGCCCTTTTACAAGGACCTATCGCTCCTGGCCACGTGCCCAAAGTGAGATAGAGCTTCAAAATCCTAGCCTCTAAGGAGAGACTTGATTTCACTCTCGCCTAGACAGACTGATTTGTTTTCTTGGCATTCCATGGTATGTTCAAGACTCTTCTCCATCACCACAACTCAAAAGCTTCTATTCTGTCATCCTTAGTCATTGTCCAACCCTTTGAAACATAATAATTGAAAAGACCGTGGCCTAGATTAGGCACACCTTTGCTCTTCAGCACTCTTGAGAGGTCCATGACAGCAGATTTTCCGAATGCAATTTGTCTTTTTTAATTTCCTGACTGCTGGTGTTAAAGAGTGTTGATTGTGGATCTGAACAAGCTATAATTGCTAACAACCTCAGTCTCTTTTGCATCTATCATGGTGCTGCTAATTGGCCCAGTGGTGAGAATCTTTGTCTTCTTGATGTTGAGCTTCAATATGGATTGACCTTGTGCAGCAAGTGCTTCAGGTCTTCTTCATTTTCAGCAAGCAAGATTGTGTCATCCGCATATTGATAGCAATCTCTGTATTCTCCAAGTTTAAGCTCTTATTTTTTCTTGTTGAAAAAATTTTGAGTTTTATAATACTATGAGTTGAGTAAACATCCTTGCAGCTGCAATATCCTTCCACTTTGAGCCCTATAAGTTGCTTATGGGAATTGGGTAGTAAATGGTACTGTTTGAGTGGGTGTGCTCACACATGTGTAAAACATACACACACAAAGATGTTTTACTGAAAGTCATAAAGCATTAATCTGCTAATCAGAAAGTAATGAATTTGAGCTTGCTAGAAACTGGAAGAAACTTTACAGCTAAAAGATTTAGTCTTGGGAGTTCTGTGAACTGTGTTGTTCTGTCCTATGGGCTGTGCTATGAGTAGGAATTGGTAATTAGTAGGATTTTAGTGACCATTGTATAACATACTATATATTTGGTTCTTACACATATGCAGGATACACCTTTTTGATTGTCATTTATATAAATAAGCCAGAACCATGAAAATCTTTATGAAGTTGCTGAATAAAGTATAGAATTTTTTTTGTTTTCAGTTACTTTTAAAAAAAATAAGCTATGCAGAAAAGGTTTTTGTTTTTGTCCTGATTGTATGAGTGTATATATTCTAAATTAACAGTGTATTTGGAAGCATTTATAGGATACTAATAATTGGGCTATGCTGTGGTGGTCTAAAGGTGGATGTATATTCAAGTATTTTTCATGCAGACGACTTGAAAACTGGATGCTTTTTAACAAACTTTAAAATGCATGTATTTAAATCTGTGCTATTTTAACTTTTTTTAAATGAAAGTTTACAAAGACTTTGGATTTCCATTCATTGTTGCACACTTTCCTCCCTATCTACCCCCCTCCCTAGTTCGTAAAAGAAGATTCTTTCTTTGTTATACAATCCCACCCTTGCTCCCCACCCCCAGTCCACTCCACTATGCCGCTTTCATTCTGGACTCTTGTTATGTCATGACAATAATACGTAATCTTATATTCCTTCTAAACAGTTCTCTCCCTCTTCTGTTTCAATGCAGTATACATTATTTATCCCCTCTTAGATTCCCCCCATCTTTGATATCAGTCCTGCTTTACAGTAGTGGCACTATGCAGTATTTGTCCTTTTGTGACTGAGATATTTCACTCAGCATTATATCTTCCAGAGTCCCACCCATTTCGTATTATATTTTATGAGTTCCTTGTATTTCAATGCAGCATAGTATTTCATTGTGTGTATATACCAAAGTTTCTCTGTCCATTTGTTTGTTGATGGACACTTGGGTTGTTTCCAACTCTTTACTATTGTGAACAAAGCCGCAATAAACATGGGTTTGCATGCTATTTTAACATCTAAGAAATTATTCCAAGATTTCTTTTTAATTGAATGCAAATCTTCTTGTTTATATAGGAAAAGCTGAATCTCAGTTGCATCCATAGTCCTGTTGTTAATGAACTTATGAGAGGAATCCGTTCACAGATAGATGGATTAATCCCTGGGGTAGAACCACGTGAAATGGCTGCTATGTGCCTTGGACTCGCCCACAGGTGAGATTTGCTAGAAAGAAAAACCAACAAAGACACAATACTCTTGCTTTATAAACATTAATCCTCATACTTGATGCAGAAATGAGAGTATTCTCATGGAGACAAGAAGAAACTCGGATGGCCAGATAAAATAAGTGATGAAGCCAAATAGGAATGCAGACAGGTCTGGCTCCATTACTTGCATTCTGAATCTTTTCGTAATAGTTTTTTTATCCTTCTCTAGTGTTGAATCTCAACACCTCTGGTCTTTTACTTTTTCAGTTCTCTGTTCAGTATCCATTGCTAGCTTCCTAAATTTTGTCATCTGTTAATACTCTATTCGGAAAATTATTGTTTTCTGAACATTATTAATGTTCTGAACTATTATTAGTGAAGCAAAATAGATCAAGCATTTCTTAGAACAGGCATGTGTTCCCAACATTCTGTTAAGTTATACATATGAAGTTATAAGGTTTGTGAGGGGAAAAGTAATTGCAGGAAACCTGCTCTAAACTTAACTTTTTTTTTTTTTTAAAAAATTTTATTTTTTTTGTGTGCATGTGTCATCAAATCAGATCTGACTGATACAGGAGGAGATTGTCCCTCCTTCTCCAGCAGAGCATCTGGTGGACTCGAACCTCGTACCTCTTGCCACTAGGCCACCAGAGCTCCCTTAAACTTAACTTTTTTATCAGAGCACTATCAAGAGCAGTGTTAATAAAAATGTTGTCAGTTAAAGACATGCAAAACTTACAGTGGAAGAATCATTATGGTAAACATCTGTGCTCTTAAACATAGTAAAATAGGTTAGTGTAAATGGATGAAAGTTCGAGCTGCTGAGTTACAGAAACAGCCAAGTAAGTACACAGTGACCTCCGAGGGGGGAAGAAGTAATTGATAACAAGTCAGTTTGAAAAACCTCCTGCATGCATTGTATGAACTAGTGATTTTCTAGTTATGGTTGGTTTTGTTTGCCCTCTGTGGGATTATTTTGCAATCTGAGGGGCATTATAGTTGCTACTAACTAATGGTTAAAGGCTTGCTCCGAACATCCTACAGTGCACAGGACAAGAAAGAATTATCTGACCCAAAATGCCAATGGTACTGAGGTAAGGAAACATAGCATTGTTCCTCCAAAGCTATTGCCACCCAAAGGAACATTGTTAGAATAGGCTGCTCTACTGGAGAAAGGGAGAAATTTCTTGTCATGTGGTTTATTGCCTCTGAAAACCTGCTGAGTGGGGTTGTCAACTGTCAGTTGACTTAAACTAGACAGTACATAACAACAGTGTATTTCGGACTGGAGTTTGGGTGTTTAAAAGTTTTATGATTGTTTTAAATATTAATTTAAATACTTTTTAGATGTTATTGATTTAATTTTTTTTCTCCTTCCCAGCCTTTCTCGATACCGATTGAAATTTAGTGCTGATAAAGTGGATACAATGATTGTTCAGGCAATTTGTAAGTACAGTAATTTGAATTCTAATCTGACTCAGTTCCTCATTTATTCTACTGTGTAAATTTACTGGTTTTGTCTGGTAAGAGACAGTTCAGCTTGAATTTTTAGTATATAAGCTGAATTGAAAAATGTTTGAGTAGAAAGTAAAAAAAGTAATTTTATAATTTGGAGACAATCTGAATCTGTCACAGCTTCTTAGCATTAAACAGATTGTCTTTTTCTCTGCAACTTGGTAAATCTGTAATCAGAATTTTGATAGTTTTGTATTTTGCTTAAGCACTACCACCAGTCCCTCTTCCTCACCCCCTTGAAAAAGAAAAACAGGCCTTAGTTTTTTATAATAGACTGTTTATTCACCTGTGGGTGTTTTTTTTTTATGATGTCATTCATTTGAACAATGTCTCATTTAACTTACCATTTTTTTATTTGACTGCAGCCTTACTAGATGACTTGGATAAAGAATTGAACAATTACATTATGCGCTGTCGAGAATGGTATGACTGGCATTTTCCTGAATTAGGAAAAATTATTTCAGATAATTTGACATACTGCAGGTGTTTGCAGAAAGTTGGTGAGTAATTCTTTAATTTTTTAATTTGGCATTAAGAATAATGGAATTGATTTGCATCCGAAAATAGGGGTTATTATAAACTTTTTCGTTCTTTATAGTCTTGAACCTAAATACCTTAAGCTACTTCTTTATATTTGGTTTGGTACAGGAGCAAGAATGGTTTTTTTAACAAGGTCACAGAGGTTTTATAATTTAGTTTTAACCTTGTATATGCTGTAGTAAAGAATATTCTCTACTTTTTTACCATAAAATAACTCATTATGGTGAATTAGATTCTGAATTTGCCGTTAGTAGGAGCACATGTAGATTTGAAGAAATCATCATTCTAGTACTGTCTAACAGTAATTACTAAAATTTATGTCTAGTAATAGCTAACATCAAGAGTAATATAATTTTCATATACCTATACGTAAAATATCTTCGCATGAAAGTTCAAAAGATACTTTATTTCCATCCTTGACATCACCTCTGAGACATTATGACACATGGTGAACAAACAGAACTGGAGTAAAATAAACCTGTAGATATCAAATTCTGCATTAAAAAAGTAATATAATTTAACTAATATTATTTACTAAGAGCACACTAATACTATTAGTAGAGGAATCTGACGATTATTGATAAATAAGGATTTCGATCCTCTTCTAGAATTATTAGGAGTCTCAAACTTATTCCCATGGAGACAAGACAGATTTATAGCTGACCTTCCATTGAGTTTATTTCAAGTGTAAATCTCGTTAAGAGGAAATTGATCTTTCTGCTGTAGAGCAACTGGTAGATGTGAATTGCTGTCGTTAGGTTGGCTGTGTAACTCCCTTCCCTACTTGGACCCATAGCCATAAAAATACTGCTATCCTCCAAATTTTTGGTTTGTTCACTTCACTGTAGCCTTTTTTTGCTAATAGACCCTAACGGAAATGGGTTAACAACGTGACTGCAGAAGTGGACTTAAATGTAGTAAACATTATGAGGATGACATATATGAAATTTCAGTTTGATACGGTTGCTAGGGTTCAGAATCAACTTAGCAGCACTTAACAATGTTATAAGTCCTTTTTGGTATTTTCCTTTTTAAAGAAAAGACTGAGCCTTATTAATCATGTTACATTTTCACGGAGAATTTGATAATTTTTGTAGTATGTTGAATGTTTATCTCTAAAATAAAATCTCTGCATAAGGAAACCTAACTTTGTTTTGTTAAGGCACCCTTTTCATTGGTTTAACTCTACTTTTTTTCTTTTGACTTTTTGATGGATTTTATATTACATAATGAACTCATCTGCAAACATCCCATAGGTGATAGAAAGAACTATGCTTCAACCTCACTCTCTGAGTTACTGCCAGAAGATGTTGAAGCTGAAGTGAAAGCAGCTGCAGAAATATCTATGGGAACAGAGGTTTCCGAAGAAGATATTTGCAACATTATGCATCTCTGCACCCAGGTAAATTTATAAACCATAAAATCATTGTGTTAAGAAATACTAGTTTTCTAAAAAAAAAAAAGAAATACTAATTTTCTGATGGCAATGATGATTTATCTTATTGTTCACCTGACAGATATGAGGGTTTACAGTCACTACCTCATCTGATGCCATCTTGAGTTTTATATTTGGAAGGAGGGGAATATGTTTGTTTTTTGCTTTTTTTTTCTCTTTTAAACCTCAAAAATATTTTAATTTTTTTCCACTGTTGCATTTTCCCCTACCCCCCAGACTCCCTTCCCATAACACACCCAATATGTATTTTTTTTTTAAGAAAAAGAAGGAAAATTTAAAAAAAAGACAGCCAAGCCCACTGCCATTGAGTTGGTAACAAATCATTGTGACTCTGTAGGACAGACTAGAGCTGCCACATACATATAGGGTTGTTTCTAAGGCTATAAGTTTTTAAAGGTAGAGAGCTGCCTCATTTTGCTTCCTATGAAATAGCGGGTGAATTCAAACCACCAACTGTTCTTTTAACAGCCTAACACTTAGTCAGAAGAGTTCTATTGAAATAATTACTATGTTATTATCCTCTGAATACAGAATTAAAACCTCAAACACACAGAGTTGTGGCTCTTGAGTTATTAGATTCTAAGTGTATGTTGATAGTCTGTAGTGAGATTTTTCTCTTATTTGGAGACAGGCAGTTCTAGCTTTTAGGATTTATTTTTTTTTTTAACCAATAATATTTTCAAGAAATGTACTAAATGGTTTACATATCTGGTTTACCCAAAGTCAAACAGACACTCTGTGATATATTAGAACTCTTAAGGATGGACAGTCTCCTACTGTGTGATTGAAAACCTGCCAGAGGGTCAGCTATGGGTCAGTTCCACTCAGGTACACAACAGCAGAGGCTTCATTCTCTATGACTTACAACCTTGAGTAGCCACTGGAAGGCCATCTATGAGTTGGTTTATCTTTGATAGCAATTACAGAATGATTTAGGCTTATGTTAATTATATGTAAATATTGTAAGATGTATGTGACTGACTCATTTTGTTCCTCATATTAGGTGATTGAAATCTCAGAGTATAGAACCCAACTCTATGAATATCTACAAAATCGAATGATGGCCATTGCACCAAATGTTACAGTCATGGTTGGGGAATTAGTTGGAGCACGTCTTATTGCCCATGCAGGTAATGATTTTAATGTAATTTTCAGATACGAGCCTTTATTGATCTGGAGTTTTATTAAAGAAATATTTGTAGTAATAAGCAGCTGATATATGGGTAAAGACTAAGGACCAAGTGTTCTGTGATGATTTTCACTAGTATGCCTGACTTCCTGTTGGATAATGAAGGCATCACCTATAGTCACTACCTCTTCTGAGACACATAATGGTCCAATGCCACAGGTTTATTGTGGTTAATTCGAGTATTCAGATGAATACTAGAGTTAGGAAATCCTAACTGGTTTTTTCCTAACATACTAGACTTGAAAAATATTTTTGAATAATTGATTTGTAATCGAACTTAATTGTAAGTGTATGGTGATACTGTAATTACCAAATGTTGCAATAAAACATTAATTGAAATACTAGGGAAAAAATAGATAAACTAGATTTTTTTATTTCTGGAGTCAGATCATCTTGGTATCCTCTGCTTCTAAGTAATCTTACCTCATTTTCACCCCGAAGTAATAGGGTAACTAAAGTGAGGTTAATTTTTCATATCACATAACTCTTCTAACACTGAACTGCCCTACCTGTGGTGGCAAAAAGCTGTGCTGCAACCTCAAAGGCACGCATATTTAGACCACCAGCTGCTGCTCTGTGGGAGAAGGATGGGCAGTCTCCTTCTGTGCAATTAATCTGCCTCTGAAAACCTGCTGGGAGGGTCAGGTGTGGTTTGGTTCCGACTCTGCAGTACGCTACAATAACGTTACCGTTTACTTTTATTATTATTATTATTAAATTTTAATGAAAGTTTATAGAGACTTTGGATTTCCACTCATTCATTGTTGGCACTTTTCTTCCTGCCCACTCCTCCCCCCCAGTTCACTCTTCTCTTTGAAAAGTAAAAGAGAAGTTCTTTCATTGTTCCACTCCACTATGCAGCCTTCATTCTGGACTCCTGTCATGACTACAGTACCTAATCATATATCCCTTTTTAGCAGTTCTCTCCCTCATCTGTTTCAACGCAGTATACATAATTTATCCCATCTTTCTCAGTCTCTCCTCAACCCCTTGTCAGTCCCGTTTTACAATAGTGGCACTACGCAGTATTTGTCCTTTTGTGACTGAGATATTTGACTTAGCATAATGTCCTCCAGCGTCACCCATTTGATATGATACGTCATGAGTTTCTTGTTTTTCAGTGCATCAAAGTATTGTGTGACTATACCACACAGCTTCTTTATCCATTTGTTGGTTGATGAGCACTTAGGTTGTTTCCAACTCTGCTATTGTGAACAAAACTGTAATAAACATGAGTGTGCATATATCTGCTGGGGTGGCAGTTCTGGTTTATTTAGGGTAAATTCCCAGAAGTGGAATTGCAGGGTCAAATGGTATCTCTATTTGCAACTTTTTGAGAAAGTGCCACACTGCCTTCCACAGTGGTTGTACCATTTTACACTCCCACCAGCAGTGAATAAGGGTTCCAGTTTTCCCACAACCTCACCAGCGTTTGTTGTTTGCTACTCTGTTAAATTTTGCTATTCTTACTGGGGTGAGATGATATCTCATAGTTGTTTTGATTTGCCTCTCAGAGGTGCGGATTTTGAACATTTTTTCATGTGCTTGTTGACTATCTGAATGTCTTCTTTGGTGAAATGTCTGTTCATATCCTGTGCCCATTATTTAATTGGATTGTTTTATTTTGTGTGGTGTACCATTTACTTTTCTATTACTTAAACAGCAGAATATTTAATATGCAAAATAAATTTATAAAATGGAACTTAGATTACTATGAGTACTTGTATCATTTATTTGTTATGACAGTAGATTTAGAATTTATTTACAGGTGAATAAATAGAATTGAAGTACTAAGTTAACCTTCCCATTTATCACAATTTTATCATAGCCATTTCTTCATGGTAATACAAAAATGCTGAAGCATCAGGTTTATTCGTGAACCTTAGAATACTTAGATATTTTTTATTATGGTGGCTATGGTACTTAAGTACAGGAAACCTTTCAAATACTTGGAAGTGTGTTCTTAATTACTTTTTTCTTTTTGGAGGTTCTCTTTTGAATTTGGCCAAGCATGCAGCTTCTACAGTTCAAATTCTTGGAGCAGAAAAGGCACTCTTCAGGGCCCTCAAGTCTAGACGGGATACCCCTAAATACGGCCTCATTTATCATGCTTCACTTGTGGGTCAGACAAGTACTAAACACAAAGGAAAGGTGAGTTAACAGGTTTTTCTTTCCTAACCAGCCAATTTTACTCCTCAAGTGTATACTGCCATTTTCTCGTGTCATATTCATTGAATAGAAAATGATGAATTCAAGTAAACAAAACCACACTTGGACACTGAAAGAGTAGATTAGGTTAGAAGGCATTGTTTTCAATGTTATGAAAAAGTAATTTTCTTTTGCTGTCTTAAAAGTTTTTCTAAGTTTTAGGGAGCTCTGGTGGCCTAGTGGCAAGACATTGCACTGCAGTCCCAGAGGTGTGTGGTTCAAATCCACCAGATGCTCTGCTGGAGAAGGAGGGGGTAATCTCCTCCTGTACCAGTCAGATCTGATTTGACGGTACAAATAAAAATAATACAATAAAAATAAAAAAAGTTTTTCTAGGTTTTGAGATAAAGACTTGCAATTGAGTGCTCATACAGAGTTAAAAAGTATTAGAAAATCATCTATAATTTATATTTTGAGTTTTCCCTAGAACTCTTATACCACTAGGTCTGTATCTATCTGTATTTGCTTGGCATTTTTAGGAAATTGGGCCTATTGGTGAGAGATGGTATATGATTTACATAAAAAGAATTGTTAGGCAGAAAAATCCAATTCAGTAGAGGCTCAGGCGTCTGTTTCATGGATAAAGGTGACACTTAGACAAATTTCATTCTGTTTCTAGAACATATGGTTAATAAAAATAAATTTTACTGTTTTAGAACTGTAGAAAATTCAAGGATCAGTGATAAAAGAACTTAAGAGATTTAAAAAAAACTTAAGGGACAAAAAGTTTATACTAGTTAGTACTAAGATAAAGGGCCAGAACTGCCATCATGGAAGATAAAAATATCCTGGGTTTTTTTTTTCCCTTTTCCAAATCTTAAAATGGATGGTTTACTGTAGTTTTCTAACAAATAATGAAAGTTTAAATACCTCATATTTAAATGCCTTTAACTTCATATCCTTTTTTTAGATTTCTCGAATGCTGGCATCCAAAACGGTTTTGGCTATCCGATATGACGCTTTGGGTGAGGATTCCAGTTCTGCAATGGGACTTGAGAACAGAGCCAAACTAGAGGCCAGATTAAGAGCCTTGGAAGATAGAGGGGTAAGAGCCAAAGCCTATATGTTTGTTCTTTTCAGAAATGATTGCAGGAGTACTATCACAGATCAATAATGAGTTACTTTGTGTTTTAATTACTTTACATTTCAGCGTGTTCATTATATTCTTTTCCTTCTGTGAACAGTTCTTTTGACCTTACCAAGAATTGAGATATTTTGTTCTAATATGAGGTTCCAAAGAATCACAAAGAAAATTAATCTGATAATGCTTCCTGGTGTTCCAGTGTGTTACTGTGCTGTATTATAGAAAAGAGATTACTAGTAGTTTTCAGAGTTCTGGCTGGTGGTTTAGTGTTAAAATATGCTGCCAGCTCAAAAGACATGCACTTGAAATGCACCAGATGCCCCACAGGGTAAAGATGAGCAGTCCTCTCTATGTGATTTATTGCTTCTAAAAACCTCTTGGGGATTCAGCTAAGAGTTGATTCTGACTACTATACATGACAACAAGAACAGCAGTAGTTTTTCTTTTTCTTAACAGATAAGAAGAATAAGTGGAACAGGAAAAGCATTAGCAAAGGCAGAAAAATATGAACATAAAAGGTAAGTAGCATTTTTATTTTAATATTGTTACACACATAAGTGGTTCACTTTTCCTCTAGTTTTCCTTTGTGATTTTTCCATATTCACTTCTAACTTTAAATCATCATAAACGTATTGGCAGTGTTGGAATAAGTTGTTAGGTACCATAGAGTTGAATATGACTCATAGTGACCTTATGAACAACAGATCTGAATCCTGTTTTGTCCTTTGTCAACCTCACAATCTCTGATTGGAGCCCTTTGCTGCAGTCACTCTCATTGTACCTGGTTGAGGGTCTTGTCTTTGTCATTTCTTTCCAAGTATGATGTCCTTCTGCAAGGATGGCTTTGTTTGCCATTCTTGCCTCCAAGGAGCACTCTGCTTCACCTTCTCCAAGACATAGGAATATGTTTGACTACATACGATTGACTGCTCCAAGGTATAGCAATCAGATTGACTACATCTACGGAAAGAAATGTTGGAGAATCTCATTATCAGCAGTCAAAACAAGGCGAGTGCCGATGGTGGATCAGACTAGCAGTTACTCGTGAAAGTTCAGATTGAGGCAGAAGAAAATTAAGTCCATGAGAAACAAATTATGACTGAATCTATCCTGTCTGACTTTATAAATCATCTTAAGAATAGATTTGAAGCTCTGAACACCAGTAATTGAAGACCGGATGAATTGTTGCGGGCCATCAGGGATATCATCCATGAAGAAAGCAAACGGAAGAGAAGAAAGTCAAAATGAGTGTCAAGGAGACGGAAAATAACACTAAGGCATTGAGAATCCAAAACAAAGGGAAGAGATGTGGAAGTAAAAGAGCTGAAGGCTTCAAAGGGCAGCTAGAGAAAACAAAGTGAACTATTATAAAGGAATATGCAGAGACCTAGACTTGGAGAATGAAAAAACCTCCTCACCCAGCATTTTCTCAAACTGACAGAATTGAAAAACCTATTCAAAACTTGAGTTGGAATACTGAGAGATGTAGTGGGCAAAATCTTGAATGATTCAGAACGTATCAAAAGAAGATGGAGAGATACACAGAATCACTGTGCAAAAAAAAATCATGGTTAACAAGCACACCATATTATTTGGGGGCATGCCCATAAGGAGTTCTGTGCTGCCATCCTAAAAATGGAGCCTCTGATGATTTAAATCCAGCAGCCTCTCAGAAGAAGGATAAGCAATCCTCTCCCTAAACCCCAACTTTTCTCCTGCAGTTGTCCCTGCTGGATTCGACCTGCCAGTGAACCATGCTGCCTTTGGGTTAGCAGTGCAACTCTGCCACCAGAGTTCACGATTCAGACATCTTTTTAGTCCTCTGCCTTTTGAGATTTTCCCCCCATAGGATTTTTTCTCCCTAATATGTCAACTACTAAAACGTTAGTTCTGATGATGCAGTGCATAATATTATTCACCTGTTTGCTTCATAAGAGAAAGAACTAGTCTGGTCTCAGACACAGCCCCAAAAATCCCTTTCGGGCCACAGGGGTACCTATGGCAAAGTTCTGTTGTTCTTTTACATGGGGTTGCTGTGAGTCCGTTTCATAGCACTTGACATCACATGTGGTAGACTGATGTTAAAAGATAGTACCATCACATTTTTGGAACTGTTAGTCTTAAACTCCTTCACAGCCACAGATACTCTTCTGATGGCTATATTTCTCACGAGAATTATTTCCATTATAAATGTTTATTGAGATTTTTCTAAAACTTTTTCAGTGAAATAAAGACTTACGATCCTTCTGGTGACTCTACCCTGCCAACCTTTTCTAAAAAACGCAAGATAGATCAAGTAGATAAAGATGATGAAATTACAGAAAAGAAAGCTAAAAAGGCCAAGATTAAAATCAAAGGTGAGTTTGGATTGTTTTTGCTCATTTATACTGTTACTCTTTTAAAGAACTATGTAAGTCTTAGCAGTGTACATGCCTTTTTTTAAAAAAAAATAGCAAATATACTTTATTTAGAATTCATTTACTTATATTTCAAAAACACTGTTTGTGAAATAAGCCCTTAAGCCTTTGAGTTCTCTGGTGATATTGACAACATACTGAATGGCTTGCCTTGAGTCATTTATTAGGTACCCAGCAGTGATCTTGCTGTCTTGCAAAGTTGCCAAGTGTCAGATTCCATTGTTGCACCTGTGTTTATTGTGGGCTTACCAGCTAGTCTAACAAAAGAGTCCTGTCTGGTATTAGAATAACTCCATAATGAAATATGTACTGGTAACATTTGTAGACTCCTACCTGGGCTTACCTCTCCTTTTGTTTGATGGAGAAAATATAAACAAATTTATTGTCTATTTTCTTGTTAAAAAATAGATCTCTGAAACTTGCCTTTAAATACTGTAAACGGTAAATGAGATGATACAAAATTGGGTACAGTATTTGGCATGTTTGTGAGTGTAGTGTTCAAGCATAATCAGTGTTAGTATTATTAACACTGTTAAGTAACTGTAGAGCCAAAGAGTGTTTTTCTAAAGAATAAGTAATAGCATGGGGGAAGACCCACAAGCTCATCAGAGGCCGACAAGGAAGTGAAAGAGCAAATATTATGAAATGGTATGTGAGGTCTTTAGAAGTAGACAAACCGTTGGAAAACATTAACTAGCTTGGTCAAAAAACCTGCAAAAAACCCAAAGAGTACAGATAGATGTGATGATAGTTTGAACTTGCTTGAAAAATACCTGTTTTTGCACTTCTTAGTAGGTTGAGTTAAACAATGTTGTGGTAGTCTGTACCCCGACTAAGATTAACGAAGGTCCTGGAAATGTACTACCTGACACAGGGTTAATTTCTATGCCTTTATACTATATTTAGTTGAAGAGGAGGCGGAGGAGGAGAATGAGGAAGAACAACAAAAAGAAGAAGTAGTAGTGATGGAAGAAGAGGAAACCTCTGTGAAGAAGAAAAAGAAAAAGGATAAAAAACGCATTAAGGAAGAGCCAGTGTCTGAGGAAGAGCCATGCAGCAGCACAGTAATTTCTGTATGTTTGTTTTTAATTACCACAATTCTATTAACTCAGGCAGGGTCCCCATATTTAACCTACCTCATAAATAATGTGCATTAAAATGAACACACATTTTCAAAGAACAAATTCTGTTTTCCTCACCCTGCCCCCATCAAGTTGTGCAACCTCATAATTATACCCTTTTCCCCCTGCACATCCTCAACACTGCTTCCACCTTCTCCCAGCCCTCTTTAATTGATACACTACCCATTCTACATTAATGGTTTTATACAGTATTTATCCTTATGGGACTGAGTTAGTTCACTCAACGTAATGCTCTCTCCTCTCCCTCCCAAGTTGGGTAATAATTTATAAAATCATTGCTCCTGTGTAGTGTGTAGAGTATTCCATTGTGTGAACGTACCATAATTTCTCAATCCATTCGACTGTGGTTGGAAATCTGGGGTGTTCCCTTATTGCAATGGTGAATGACGGCTGTTATGAACGTTAGTGCACAAATTTATTTTGTGCCTCAGTTCTCAGTTTTTCAGGGTATGTTCCAAGCTGGGTCATAGGGAATTTTTATGTTCATTCTGACCCTTTTAAAAACATTCTTAATGGTTTTTTCAGAGTCCAGAGAAAAAGAAGAAAAAGAAAAAAAAGAAAGAGAATGAGGACTGATGTATTGGAACGCTAATTAAATCACTTGGACACATCACATTGAA